ATAAATTTTGTAATGTCATGTAATACGAAATTATATTGTCTGTAGAGAAGTGTGATGTTTGAAATGTCGAAGGATAGTAAAAATAAAATCTCCAGACGCACAAATGTGAAGTCAATGACATTATACGTACATATATTTATGTATATGTTGTTTAATCTTACAGCACAAGGCTATATGATACAAAGCTTAAAATATATTTTGCGTATATTATATTAAATATATAATAAATATATAATAAGTTATATTATAAACCTTATAATATATTTTTCATGTTACGTAGAAAAAGATTATATAATTTGCAAACCGTTTAATACCGTATAATTTCATAGTGAGTTCTAATTAAATCTAAACTTTTGTAGAAATTATTATGAGTCCATATACATTCATTTATAAAATTAGACATTTTAAATACATTTATAAAATTTAAATGGCTTCAACATTGCACGAAATATTGGAAATTATACTTAGGATACTCATTTTCCTTTCCATATTTGTCATTTTACAAAGTGAATATTATGCAAATTATTACCTACGGATTCAACGGTAGATGCTAAGCGCAATAATTTTTCTTGCCTCCCTTGAGGTGATAAAATTAAATTCGTTTAGTTCCCAGAGGAACTGTCATATTTATCAAAACATTATTTTCGTATTCTTTTTATTTGGTATACAAGTCACGATAGTTAAAATGAAATGTGTACAGCTAAAGTAATGATATTTTATTTTTATCTCCAGCATAAAATAGTGGCTATATTATAATATGATAAAAAACTGAATAATCCAGTATTGAGACATTAGAAGAAGAAAGAAAGAAAGAAATGTTTATTTGGTACATAACAGAAAAAAAAACATAAAATAAAAACAATACAAAAATAACAATTAAAATTTAGAAATAAATGTACCAAAAAGGTCACCACTCAGAATTACATCGTAAAAAAATAAATGATAAGTAAAGGAATGTAGGCCTATAACTAAAACCGAAATTAAAAAATTTAGAATTAGAAACGAAGGGAATTAGTATTAGAATCACAAAACAAGTTTTTTTATGTGATCCTAATTTTGATGACTATGTTAGGCTATATTCAAAAACTTTTAAAAAAAGGGTCTGTACTTTAGCTACCGAACTGCTATGAAAAATTTTGTAAAAATATATTATTTTCCACAAATAAAATTAAAACTACATGAAATATTGGTTTACTAGGTAGGTACTAAGGAAGCTGGCAAAAATGAAGACAAAAAAGACGGATTTCGTTTAAATATAGACGGCAATGTATTAAACATATAGTATAAAAGTCCATTTTAATTAATATAAGATTATAAGTCACCACCAATTTAATTTATTTAAAGGAAATGACTCTGATTCTGCACTTGCAACTTCCCCTAGCTGCTGCTGATTTTATTATTAATAAATTTGTGAATTTCTTCTTTAACTCTAAAAAAGAAAACAAGAACATGGGTTTTCTTGCCGGAGAATGAGATTTGTCATAGTGGCGGACTCGCAGAATGAGCATCAAGAAACGCTGAAAGAAACAAATGAATCCTCAAGGTGGTCTCAAGGTGTTCCCTAGAGCAAACAAAGTCATTTAAGAACGTATCCTGGATAGATGGATGATAAGTTTGCGCAAGTGGCAAACTCATGCGTTCAGACCAAGATTGAGCTATGTGGCGTACATAGGATAGGCCTGTTACTTTTCTTTTTACATTCAATATAGTTAAACATAGTCACCCCAAGAGTTTTCTTTATATGTCACATATTTATTAAAACCTGTTAACATGCAAAATTGTCAAGGCATTAAATACTTCATAAATAAGGAATGGTACGGCGATGCATGTCAATTTTGTTATTCATTAAGTTTATACTAATAAAAAGGGAGCGGTTATATTTCCTACTTATAATCAAACAAATTAATCGATTCAATAAAGTCAATCAAACTTCAGTGACTAAACTTCATCGTCTTTAAGAGCCGATTTCAATCGAAAATTTTGATTATGGTGTCATATATTCAATTATGATGTAAAGAAATGATGTTTTTGTCAAATTATTCATTTCGAAGTTAAGTCTTAAATAAGATTAAAATTGATTATGTAGTATTAACAATTCAAACCAAGATAACAATTGGAAATGCAGATGAGTAACGTAAAGCAATAAAACTTATCAGTTTACCGACTGAACGGACAAAGCAAATTGCCGTATTGAAAATTTATTCTACAATAATACGATGGAATTCTTCATAATTGGTTTTTGATAGCTACTGTTGAGCTAAAAATACATTTACCGATAACAATCCCACCTCGTTTGCATTTTTGATTAAGTTCCAATGCTGTTTCAGATCATCCCATATTATGTTAATACCTCCACAATTATTTTTCGGAATTAAAACGTTTAAAGCGTAAGGACGTAAGAGTATTTTTCCGGTTTACCTAATCACAAAAATATTGCTATATTTATAAAAACGTTTTCCAACAAATGTTATATTATGATATAGAATAATAAATTAATTCTTAATTTTCCTCATCTTTCAAAACAAAAAAAATACATCTTTCAATTTTAATCATGCCTTCACATAATGCAAAATTACATAATGCCTGGTATTCCAGGAGTGATGCTGTACATACATAAAAGCCATTGACCCTAAGCTCAGAAAGAGCTACCGACCTCATGTTTTGAAATTAAAATACTTCTTCTAGTAAAAAAGCAACAAAAATGTTGTAGTTGATGCATAAAACAGTTCACAAGTGTTTAATGAGTTCAAAAAGGTACGGGTATGTTTTAGAATATTCATTAAGTTTTTCATTCCTTAATTACATTTTCTATTAAAAAGGAAACTTTATAATTCAAACGAAAGTGTAATTTTCTTATGATTATGGATATATGAATTAACGTTAGTATATAATTTTGTTGTTTACACTTTATATATAATCGTCATCATCATCATTTCAGCCTGTTTGAGTCCATTGCTGAAGATAGGCCTCCTCAATAGACTGCCACGAAGTACAATCCTGACCTGAGCCACCAGCATCCATCGACTTCCCGCACACTGGCACAGGTCGGCACTCCATCGTGCAGTGATGTGTTGTAGGAGGTTGCCACTCGAGAACCTATCTTCCTCAACTACTTATATATAATACTATGCTTGCATATAATGACATAATTTTTTACCTATAATTTTTCTGGTAAATGCATTTTGATAAGTTTGCATAATGTTGCGTGATACTCAATAAAATACTATTTTAAAAGGTGGCAGTAAAATATTTTATATCAACATTAATCTGTCTAGAATGCCTTAAGGTATTTCTTTTTCGTGAGATTTTGAAGTCATCTAATACTACACACGCAATACATGATAGTTTATTATGTTTTCATTTATTATTAATCAGAATTTTATAGTAATGTTGTTTATTTTCATCCAAAATAATTAAAAGTTATTACGATAGGATCGTTGAAGGCGCTATTAAATCTATTTTGCACGTATGTAGTGCATTCATGGTAAATCACTTCAGTTACCTTATTTACCGATGAAAAGTACATTAATCATTGTATTATCTCACAATTCTTGCTATAGATGAAAATTTAACAACGTCAGTTGAAACATTCGAGCTCAATGCACTTACGGTCAATGCCGTTTGACTCTTAGTGCTACGTATGACACAAGCTTGCTTCATTCGTATTGTATTATATTTGTATACGTAACAGACTTACATCATGACAACTATTTCGTATCTATCGTTGAACGTATTTTATTTTATTCGGAATACTTACAGCTATTAACAAAGATAATTAAATGAAGTACTTAAACTTAAGAAGCCATTTATTAGTTTTCACATTTAGAAGTCTTAATTTATAGGTACGAAAATAAATATTTAGAAGGCATAAAAGACACATGAGTACAATGACATTAAATTAATTATAGAAAAAAATAACAGGTCCTAAAAGGGATCCTTAAGGTACACCTGAAGGATGGGTAGCCAGGCGGACAAAAAACCATTGAGAACAATTGTTTGAGACCTTTTTTTTCAATGTAGGAGGTAAACCAACAAGAGGTCCCCATGTCTTCCTATCGAATTTCTTCGATAGGAAGACATGGGGACCTTTCGAATTTCTTTCTTCCTATCGAAATTTTATGGTCTATCCTATCGAAGCACTTGTTGTAATCTGTGTAGATACAATCTATGTGGTAACCATCATCCAAACCTTTGGTGATGTAATCGTGCGTAGTAACTTGTTAGAAACTGTCGATCTTTTCTTCAAAAACCCGTGTTGCTTTTCGTTGTCAAAAACTTCAAAAAGCCTAGTATAGGTGAAATATAAAAGTAAACTTGATTATGTACTATATTTTAAAAATACTTTCGCGAATAAGCATAGTTTTGATATAGGACGTTAATTATCTATTTTATTACTATCCCTTTTTTAATAACATGAATAATGTACGCCTATTTCCATATTTTTGGAACAACTCCCTAGGACATAGAGCGTCGGAGTAATATAAATAGAGGTTGAGATTGTTCCAGAGCACAGTAAACTATGAAATGAAGGGATTTACAATATATATTTATTTATATATTTATTTTAGCATAAATCTCATAAATTACTTTTAGAAGACTTTCATGGTTTGTTCAAAGTACGTGTACGTTATTAACCTTTTTATCTCTTTGTATCCCTTATTTAATTTAATTTATGTAAAAATAAACAGAAATAAAATAAATTAATTCTTTAATTAAACTTATAAGCTAAACAGAACATAAATACGACTCAGCTTATGAAGTCCAATATACAAGCATTGTCTAAGAAACTAACAAGTGTCTTCGTTTGAGAACGCTTTTCAATTAATATGAAAAGCGTTATTAACCTCAACCTCTTTCTGTAGGTTAATCTTTTCTTCTTTTCTTACTTCTGTGACAAACGGTCTGAAACTCTAACAAGTTGACAAAATATTGGTTTGACGTTTATGATCAAATAGTTATTTCAACCTATTATTCAAAGTGCTATAATATTTATAACTAAAATGGAGGAAAGCAGAAAGAGCAAAGTATCTACGCAGTTAATTAGAGGCTCGATCCGCGAAGGAAGCAACCGCGACACAGACTTTGGCCCGAAGTCTATAAGCAGACTTAAAATGCGAAGAACATCATTCGGTTTCACCAGTGTACCTGGTATTAAGCCCGTTGATAGAACATCTCAGGTAAGAACAATAAATATAAAACTACGTATATACTCGCGTGTATCCAGACACAATGTTGAGTCTAATTGTGTAATATGCGACAGATATTTTCTGTTGTTATGTAATTTTGTGAATGCGTCACTGCATACTGTTATATATGATATAGGAACTGTTCCTGCGAGTAAGTTTCGATCTCTGAATGTATTTTACAGGTTGGAATGGAGTTTCGACGACCGCCTTTGGTCTATTTGAATACTTACCAGCTAGATCCAAGTAATAGATTTGATATTTATCGCGTGGAGACAGAGACGAAAAAAATATTAGACGACACTTTTACCGACCACAAATATAACGAACAGGTATTTCCCAATCGCATTACATGAAAAAATGACTTTTTTTTTAATGTGAAAAGTTGCCAAGCGAGCAGATGGTTCACCGGATGTTAAGTGAATACCGTCGCTCATGGACATCTGTTACAGCCGAGGGTTGCAGATGCGTTGACAACCTTTTGAAAATTGGGCTCCGGGCACCTCACTCACTAGACGAAACGCGAAAGTATTTGTTATACTTCCACTTTACGCCGGTCTTCTGTGAGGTCGTGGTACTTACCCGGACGAGCCTACCCATTCGTGCAACAGCCGAGGCAGCTGCGTGGCCCTACCACCGTAAACTTTATGTGGATTTATGTGGAGTGATTTTTTAAAGATAACGGATAAGAGCCGTGATAGCTCAGTGTCCGGGCGCTCGCCTTTAATTCCAGCCTTTAACTCCAGCAACCGAGTTCGATCCACGGCAACAATGAAATTGTTAATTTTAAGTGCCGAATTATGACGTCCTGAGCGGTGAAGGAAAAACATCGTGAGGAAACCTGCATATTTTCGAAATAATAATAATAAAAGAAATATTTCGAAGACAATATGTGAAGTCCGCCAATCCGCAGTGGGGCCGCGTGATGGACTATGCCCCGAACCCTCAGTACAGACGAGGCCTTGCCCAGCAGTGAGACATGGATAGGCTGATACTTTACTTCACTTTTTTTATTTAAATAATGCAGTTAGAAATGACTCACTTTTACCTCAATGCACAAATAGCGTGGATAAATAATTACACTTAAAAATAAAACTTATTGTTCAGTTTTCGTTCGAGGCTTGGATGTAAACATTTAGATTTGCTATGGTTTGTGGAACGCTTAAGAAAAGAAAATCGGCATACTCGCAGTCACATGATTTACGAATGCATGCATGTATTAATAGTATCTCTTTCATTCATATGTTACTGTATCTAAGATGTATGATAACTGTTGTAATTCTTAGGAATCTCCGGCATTAGCCCTGCGTATAGCGGCCGAGGTGATGCGCAAACTCAAGACCTTCAACTTCAACAGATATCGGATCATAACAGTAGTGACCATAGCCCAAAAGCGCGCGCAGAGCTACAACAATGCGATCAGTTTCCTTTGGGATCACGAGCGCGATGCTTACGTTGATCTTATGAGAGAGGTAAATACAGCGTTCGTCCAGGTTACGACTTTTGGGATTTATCTCGACTAGTTTTCTTATATCTTGCGGTATATGGTTTAGTCGCTTTCACGGATTCGTTTTGTTTGTTTTATAAGGTACATATCTTATTTTACCGAAAATTCAATGCGTAATAAAACAAATAATAACAATAAGGTTGTTATTGATATTTGTATGTACATGATGTTTGTATTTAAAGATTATACAAAATGTTAATGAAGATTTATATCTTCATATAAAATACGTCATTTACCATTTATTGATAATTACTGTGGTGTGGCGCGTCAGGGAAATTACCAAAGTCTTACAGAAGACCGCCGTGAAGTGGAAGTGGAAGAAGTACTTTAGCGTTTAGTTTGGTGAGTGAGGTAACCGGGGCTTACTTTTTTAAAGGTTGTCAACGCATCTGCAGACCATCGGGTGCTGTACATGTCTATGTGTGGTATTCAGTTAACATCAGTTGAACCGCCTTATCGCTTGACAACTTTTCATATGCATGGAGCTCAATCTCAGAAAACTAGTGCCGTGGTACTACTGGTCTGCCGCGGTTATATACTGACCGGAGACATTATATTTTGCATACATTTTTACAATCTCAGTGTTATTCGTATTCTTTATTTTTTCCTATAATGTAATATAAAAAAAATAACGAAGAATTTCTTAATATAAAATCCTGTTACAATGTTTCCGTGTTACCACATTTATTTACTTTTAAAATAAAAAGGGAATAATGCCTATTCCATGCTCATTCGCTTGCTTCTGTTATGTTATGATTGATCTATAATACTATTTAACCATTCCAAAGCTAACATAGTAGTGAATCTATTGCCAGCTAGCTACATACGTTGAGTATTGAATACAAATTAAGCCCGATGAACCTTGAAAATACGAGCACACTAAATTGTACCGCTGTCTGTAATGAGCTCGTATTTACTGTACACGAAAAGCAATATCGAAACGATGCCCCCAAAGTGGAACATCGGGTGGCACTGTAATTCTGTTCGAAACATTTGCATAGGGAACATTCAACTGAAAATACTCAATGGCTGGTAGTCGGCGCCCACGGTATACGTAATAAAACTGTTGCGCGGATTTTTATTGAAATCTGTATAGAATGCCTGGTTAAATATTAAGAACACGGAGTGATTCTTGAAAGTAAATAAAATTCTTCAGAGATTCAATATTTTTAATTTTTCCAATTAGATCATGTATGTACTTTGGATGTATAATTATTTGTATGCGCACTACTTAGGGTTATAGGAAAAGATCTACCGAGTCTTCATAACAATTTTATAAGAGTAATAAAAAAACCGACCAAGTACGAGTCGGACTCGTGCACGAAGAGTGCCGTACCATCACTACATAATATCAAACATAGTCGCCCCGCTGTCTGTCTGTCCCTATGTATGAGTCCTACATAAATATTATTTTATTCTGTTTTTGTATTTGCTGTTATAGCGGCAACAGAAATACAACACTTGTAAAAATGTCAACTGTCTATATATCACAGTACATGAGATATACCTGGTAACGGACGGACAGGCGGCGGAGTCTTAGTTACAGGGTCTCGATTTACCTTTTGGGTACGGAACGCTAACAAACATCGATTCATCTTTTTGCAGAAAATTTAAATATGAAATGTATATGTAAACGCTAATATAATTATTCAGGATGCGCCAATGTGTCCTGATTTGAAAGAGAACAACAGTAATGATATTTAAAAAGAGCTAAGCCAAAGCTAATCTAGTGTTATATCATCAGTTACAAATTGTCTTTAGACTTTGTAACATTAATATCATTAGTATTAGTTAACATAAAAGTAATAATAATATGTTAGATACGAGTAGTACTTGTCAAACTTCTCTAACAAAGAGATGGATGTTGTATATAATCATTATTGAAAGTATTTCACTATATCTGTAAATGTTGTATTATATCTGTTTTGTTGTTGATTTCGTATAATAAATTACATCGTAAGTATGAGATAATTCTAGGTGCGTAAAGTATAACTATGCTCTTCACATTTTTAATAAGCCTTCACATCTAGGGCTTCAAAAAGCTAAAGCGCATGCTTAGGTTCCCAATATAAACCTATCAAGTACGGGAGGAGGCTGAATCGAGGCACGTATATTTAAAACGGTGACCTATTTTAAGCTACAGGGTGCAGCTCCCGGGCCGAGCTGGCGCTCTATTGACCCACATGTACGCAACGCAAGCTCTGACGTCAGAACGGCATGACGTCAACGCAACGGCAGTCACGAAAAGGAACTTTAGCGGCACGACCTTTTGTTAGCCGTGCATTTTTGAAAAAAAAAAAATGAAAACATAAACGAAACTACCATATTATTATCCTAAATTAAACACAAAGATTAATTATCATATTCAAAATTCACAATAACAAATATTAATTATCCTAAATTAAACACAAGACATGCAAATAATACATAGTATAATCTCAGAAAACTTTTAAAATGTATCAATTGGTAAACTCAAAAAAGATTGTAAAGGAACGTTTGTGTGTTCAAGGTACAGGTGTATTATTATTATATATTAGAGATCATTTAAAGGATAACACTCCCTGGAAATGAATTGATCGCTCTGGCTCTTTCAAGTGAACTAAAATACATTGTAAACACGTTTCTTTGTCAAATAATTGTTAAAAATGAAATATTGAATTTGAATAACTTTGAAGATAATTTAAAGTGTAGATTATTTTCTGTTTGAAATATTGCTTTTCAGGTGTCTGCCGTGCAAGTTCCTATAACAGCATTAATTACAGGTTTGTTTGCATTACTTTTGTTTCCAATCCAAAGGACCATGGGACTGACTAAAAATCAACTACATAGAAAGAAAGAAAGAAAGAAAATACATTTATTTACAAAAAAAGGACGCACACAAAAAAAGAGAAAGAAAAGCTAAAATTAACAAAAATAAAATAAATTAAAAAAATACTTATAAATAATTCAGTAAATCAAAAGAACACAGATACATAATTAAAATATAAAACAAATGAAAATTAACTTTAACAAACCAAAAATATTGCATGGCCTATTCCGGTAAATTAGGTCAGCACCCTATTCCGGCAAATTAGGTTAGCAATAATAATAATAATATTAAACTAATTGAAAGAAGCTTCAAGGTCATTTTTGTTTTTCTTAGGCAAAGGTCGAAAGAAGATGCAGCCCGTATTAACAAGCTTTCATCATCATCATCATTTCAGCCTGCTTGAGTCCACTGCTGAACATAGGCCTCCCCCATAGACGCTTAACAAGCTTTAGAGTTAACATTTATGCGAACTAAAACTGTCCTACGGATTTTATCGCATTAAATTTAATTTTAAATCTTGCGCAATGACATATAAGTAGTAAAAACTTATAATAAAATTGAACATTGCCCTTAATGACTGATGATATTATCCTGCGTTGCAACTTGATATTATTCAATTAGTTTAGCTCCAGAGATATGTGAGTTGGGATTATCACTGAATTTATAAAATGTTAGAAAGAATATTTCGTGATGTACCAACATTGTTCGTTTATTAACAAAAATTCTAACCTAAAAAAAATTCCAACTATAATAAAATGAAAAGAATATAACAATATGTATAAAAAAAAAGGAAAAGTACGTCAGTCGAAATTTTTGACATTTTGACATTCCTGATGTGTATTCCATATTGTTTTCGGATCCTTCTTTTATATTATGAGTAGTAAAAGTAAAACAAGTCGAATTATTATTCAGCTCGATATCATAAAAATTGATGGTACGTTTACGTAGTTCCTGAAAAGCAAGATACATCTGCGCTGAGTTGCTAACAAATACCCTATTCCTGACAATCGTCGACCGCTTATGACGTGCTGTAAAATGGATTCTATAATACTTTTGTAATATAAAGCTTTGAAGCAATTCTCTTTTCTCTCTTAAATCTTAATGAACGTTTAAATTCAAACGGGATATTCAAGAGTACTCGTGGAATGAACATTTTATTTAATGACAATCAAATGCATCCGCCGATGCCGCTGCATTCGAGCACTTAGTTATTAAAATGTAATTTTGTTTTGATGCTAATAGTGTGTGGTGGTATTTTTACCCTTATGTTCGTTAAACCAAATATGCCCGACGTTATTTTGGAAAATAAGAAATGTAGATATTCTTCTGGTAGATACATAATGGTTTTAATTGATTTTTTATTACAACAAATAAGAAAAATATAGTTGTTATTTATAAATGTAATACACAATACAAAGAATATTTTGGTGAAATTAGGGCCATGAGTATATATCATTCGTCATATATTACAAACTAGCTGCTGCCCGCAATAGGCTGAAGGAGTAACATTCAAACAGAAAGACAGTAAAGTAAAAGTAAAGTAACAGCCTATACATGTCCCACTGCTGGGCAAAGGCCTCCTCTATACAGAGGGTATCAGGGCATAGTCCACCACGCGGCCCCACTGCGGATTGGCGGACTTCACATATTTTCGAAATATATTTTTTTTTTGTTATTATTTCGAAAATGTGCAGGAGAAAGACAGAAATACATAAAATATGTATATAAATTATAGCCTATGTTTTACTCTCTATTATTGTAAAGTTTCATTAAAATCCATTCAGTAGTGTTTGCATGAAAGAGTAACAAACACCCATCCATACATACAAACGTTCGCCTTTATAATATTAGTAAGGATGTTTCATAAATATGATCTTGTTACAGCCCAACAATTTGATCTATTAAATCATAATCATTGTCGTCGTCATCATCCTACAGCCCTTATCTCACCTACGCGGTCAGTTTAATATGTGAATCATGTGTTAAGGTTTGGTTTTTGTTAGGGAATTTATATAAAAAATGCTTCAAAGAGAAATATTTGATTATTAAAATATATGTACGGTATAATTGTATATAAAAAGAAGAATTAAATTATAGATAATAAAACAAATACAGTAACACTTATAAGTGAGCATATACATATACAAATAAATGCCGGATAAATGTCGCCTTCGGCATAGACAATAATAAGGTGCACTTACTTT